TCATCGTGGATTGAACCCGGGACCTCTAGCAGCCAAGGCGGATACCATGCCTCGAAATCACGCAGCACAGCACGAGACAAATTGATTGACTGCGTTGTAGGAGAAAATATGTGAACCTAGTGAATCAGAAACTCATTCGTGATTAATAATTGATTCAATTATACAGACAACAAAAGCCTGATGGGAAGAATCGTGTTTTGTTGATCGATTTTATGTGGTAAATCAACAGAATCAGCGGAAATTTAAATCACGACACTGTCTGGAGCATACAACGGTTGTCCATAGGGACGATTTGAATTTACAAAATAACTTGTCAAGCAGTGTTTGAAAGTTGAGAAGATCGGATTAGTTGCTGGTACGACTTTATTTATCTTTAGGATATGAGTCAGTGTCTTCTCATCAGCTGACAGCGTCACGTGTAGTATGGAACATCGTAGATCCAATCCCCAAATCGGAGAGATTTCTGACTAAATAACTGACAAGTATAACAGTTTTTGATAAGCAATAATTGTGATAATTATTGAGTCGTAATTCAAACATAAATAAAGCACAAACAAACAACAACTCAGCAAAGGGAACATCCGTGAAGAGGCTAGGTTAGGTTTAGTCAAGAACCAACACCACAGCACTGGGAACATTTCCATTTGCGCCCAGTCCTCATCTTCAGCAGCAAGAGAAAATTTCCAGTTCTGGTGGTATCGGCATATTTTATGTCGTTCTGTGACAATTAGTGAAGAGTAATATGGACCGGCGTCGGCACTGTTTACTTTTGTATTTGATTTGTAAGTATGAGTGAAATTATGATTTTTATGTTTTTGTTTTTTGTTTTTTAGATGAATAATTTATGATGTGGTCATGTTACTTATTTAGCTAGTTACGTTTATGTTAAGGTTTAGTCGACGGATCAACATCTTGGCACAGGGGGTAGTAACCCATCAGTGCTCCGTTCTACTTCTGACTCAAGCCTGACTCCGAAAATCTCAGCGCAGTTCACGAAATATGCAGCACCGGCGAGGATCCTGAAATACTTTGGGTAGATTTTAAACTCTAAATTGTGCCTGGGCAGCGCGTTTAGACTAGTCTTTTTCGATTTCTTACTGCCAAGTGAATTTTTATGTGTGCAACAATACACATGGGAGTCCAATCTTTGATTAGTAAAGCAATCGACCGATCATCTTCATCCAACCATTCAGCCCACAAGTGATCTGATCCCCTCCTCAGTAGATCCTGTAAGCGTGTAGCGGCTGAGGGCACACGTTCGATTTTGGTTTCTTGTTCTTCTCTAGCTTCTTACATAATATTCTTGTCTGACCAAACCCTTTTCATTTGCTGTTTTTGCAGTCTGCTCACGGTTGCAGATTCACAGTGACTTGGTTCACTCGAAAGTCTTACTTCTCGTCGTAAATTAAAGTAAAGCACCCTTTTTCCACGCCTTTTAGGCGTATAGGGCATAAGTGGCTGGACCTACATTTTACAGACAAATCGGCATAAGATTGGTGATGTGGTCAACACCACACCGACCGCCTTTACTTCCCGGGACTGCACCCGGTACCCACTCAAGGCTGGGTCGACCTGGAAGCCAAGGTCATTTTTTGAAAAAGTCTGCTCTGCCATAGATGACTTCTCGTTGTTCATTCAGTGAATCGGTAAGGTCCTTGGCTTATTCCCCCTTGACAATAGTCTAACCTGTCAGTCTCTCAGCTTGCTCATTTCCTCGCACACCTGCGTGCCCTGACACGAACACGAAACCGATCTCTGTCATCCGTTACAGCCTCAGCGACACCAGTCACTGCCTTCGGAACAAATCCGCCTTTGTCATCCTGAGCACACTTATTTAGTCCATGTTTATTAGTCCTAATCTAAAAGCATATCTGCCTATTTACCTATTGCTTATCAATTCATAGAGGACTGCGTGGACTCGGGGCATGGTGTCCGCCTCGTGTGCTGGAGGTTCTGGGTTCAATCCCCGGTAAGGGCTGGGATTTTTTCACGTGGACTTGGACTTCTAGTTAATTCCCCCTGGTCTCTGGGTAGTGAGATCGAACGCCCGTGTGCATTGTTGCCTAACGGCGTTGCCCGGGCAAAATTTGGAGTTAAAATTCTACCCAAAGTGTTTCAGGATCCTCGCCGGTGCTCTAGAGCATGTGAACTGTGCTGAGACTCGTGGGGCTCAGACTTGAGTTGAAGAAGACGGAAACACTTATGGGTTACTACCCGTGTTCCATGATGTTGATCCGTGGTTCAAACTTGAAACTTAATTTATCCACCTACCTGCTACGCACATGTTTCATTATATATGGATTGACGTAGAAATGTTATTGTCTAAGCAACTTCTCTTGTGGGTTCCCATTGTCCATTTTAATGCCCCCCCCCCCCCAAAAAAAAAAATATAACCAATGCAATGTAACAAGCATGTCACAAGAGGCGACTAACTGGGGGTGTTTCTTTTGAAGCTGGCGTGCATCTGCCTGAGAGGTGAGGAACCTAGAGGCTGTATAAAAATAAAAATAAAAATTTTTAGATCTGCCAAATGGAAGTATACTTAAAACTCAAGTTCATCGCCAAGAACAAAGTTCAGAACTCTCCACCAGAGTTTGCAGCCGAGAAACGTGAAAAAAAAAGAAGAAGAGAAAGATATAACGACCTACCAACTACCTACGAATCTGTTTGTACGCCTGCATATCTGTTTGTTTACCTGTATAGCTACAGATGTAAGTATTTAATTGCATGAATACGTGCTTAACACTACCAATACACACACACACACACACACACACACACACACACAAACACACACACATAGGCATATATGTATCTATCCACATACACACCTATCATTCTATCAACGAATCAATCCGTCTACCCGTTTTACCCTTCCATCAGTTCATCAGTCTATTCACTTATCTGCCTATCCTTTGCTAAAACCCTTTATCCATCTGTCCATTCATCCCTTCGCGTAACAATCTGTCTATCCACCCTTCCTTCTGTCAACCCGTCTATACATGTATCCATCAGGCTATCCCATTCCGGCTTCCTATACTTCCCATACATTTCCACAGTACCTAGTTTAATGTTGAACAACTTTGCGAGTCTAGATCAATGTTAAAAATCTGCCTTCATTGGGATTCAAACCAATTATTCCTGGGTAGTCAGTCACAATTTAAACAAGAACTGTAGCAGGTCCTTTTCAGAACGTCGCTGCTTTCAGGTGCCAGCCTTAAAAAACTGGACCCATTGTCAGGTCCCCCGTTTCATCAAATGTCTTTCCCCATTTGTCTCTTATGTTATTTGCTCATCTTCATGCTGGTCGACCCCTGCTCCTCTTACCCAGTACCATGGCCTTTCTATGCCGTTGTTTCCAAACTCCCATTGCGTTTGATGGGAGCAAAATATTTTAGTTTCCGAGAATAGGATTTGAACTTTGACAAAAGAACGCCAGAGAAAACTAACCATCTGTCAGATGAGATGTTTGAGAATGGCTGTGAAAAACAAACAAACAAAAAAACTCCCCAGAAGAGATCGAGGAAAAAAGGACGTGATCGAAAGAACTGTCGTAACAACACCCATCGTCAAGTTTATTGAGAAACGAAGAATGAAATGACTGGCCATCTAATGAGAATGAAACCAACGATGCCAGCAGCAAGAGCGTACAACATGAACATCGAAACACCAAGATACAAGAGTAGACCTAGAAGAAGATGAATTGAAGGAGTCATCGACTTTTTAAGACTGCATAACATCACGGCATATAAAGCGACCAAGCGCGCCCTGGCTCAGCTGCCGATCGTCTGCTGAACTGCAACGCCTAGCGGCATAAGAAACAGCGATTGACAACAGAAAGAAGAAGCAGAAGAGAATAAGATGCTTTTTACGAGCCAATTTTCCTTGATGCTCAGATCCTTTCGGCCATTGATATCTGGTGGTTTTGTTTGATCTATAATAAGTATATTTCTATGGCATTTTAACTCAAAAGCCCAGAAAGATACTTAGCGGCTACGTGGTCTCGATGTATGGTGTCCACCTTGTGTTAGAGGTCCTGGGTTCTGGACATGGTGATGGCTGGAATTTTTTCAAGTGGACTTTTAGTAATTTTCCCTGGTCTTTGGGCAGTGAGATTTGACGCTCGTGTGTATTGTTGTAGACGTAAAATAAACCTTGGCAGCTGGAAATCAAAAAGAGTAGCCTAACGGCGCTGCCGGGACAAAATTTGGAGTTAAGAATCGACCCAAAAGTATTTCAGGATCCTCGCCGGCGCTACAGAGCCTTTGAACTGCGCTGAGCTTCTTCGGACTCGGACTTGAGTTAGAAGAAGAACAAAGAGCATAAGGGTTACTACCCGTGTGCCATGATGTTCTTTATTTGTTCAAACTTTAAACTTCAACTCAAAAGCCTATAATTTCTTCCCTAATGATTGTGAGAAAGTATTTTTTTTTAATGATTGCTGCTCTCACAATACAGGTACATTCAATATTATTTAATAATCGAACACTTCTTCTTTCTTTCAGGCTGTATCCATTGTTCACTGTCAGAATTTGTTAACCTGACCATCGACAACCAGTTCTACTTTTTGTCCACCACCATCACAAACGCCACCTACGCAGCTTCCAATTGTACGTCGCAACTTCAGGCGGAACTTGCCTTCTTTGACACCAACGAGGAGTATCGCTCTGTAGCAAAGCAACTGGCGGCGTACTTCCGGGATTTCAATAAAACAGACCTCGGCGTCTGGGTAGAGATCAAAGCAACCGTTAATAAGACTGATAACACGTACGAACATTGGTGGAAGAACGAGCAGATGGACACAAGTGTATGGGCGTCTGGAGAACCAGACACCAACTGTCTGAAGCCTTCTTTAGAGAAGTGCTGCGTTAGGATTACGTGGGATGTGGTCAGTGGATCTTCCCTTCGCGATAAACTTTGTTCAGACAATACCTGTTATTATCTTTGTAAGTCCCTAAACGAGTGCCAAGATGGAAGGCATAACTGTTCCCAATCTCAAGTTTGTGTGGACAAAGCTTTTGGATATGAATGCGTTTGTAGAGATGGGTATACGTTAGCAAATGAAGGTTCAGTGTGTGTAGACGTGAATGAGTGCCAGCTAGAATTATGTGATCAGTTATGTAATAATACTCCAGGTTCGTACAACTGTAGCTGTCTCTCGGGATACCATCTTGCCATTGACAGACACAGTTGCCAAGATATTAACGAATGTGATTTAGGGGTATGCAATCATACTTGCACAAACCACAACGGTAGTTTCACATGCGCATGTCAACCAGGGTTTCTTCTGGAAACAGACAATACTACTTGCAAGGACTTCGACGAATGCGAGGCGGAGCAAACACCCTGCGAACAAAACTGTAGTAACGCAGAAGGCACATTTTCCTGTAGTTGCAATCGTGGATATACACTAATGTTGGATAACAGAACATGTGAAGCTATCAACTTTTGTCTACAAAGTACATGCCCCGGTCCGTGCATAAACACAGAAGAAGGTTATTTATGTGGTTGCCATGAGGGCTTTGAGAGTGTTCAAAGCCAGTGTATCGATGTAGATGAATGCACAAGAGGAATCCACAAATGCTCCCAGACTTGTCAGAACACGGAAGGCAGCTACAACTGCTCATGCATGCAAGGATATAAAACATCAACAAACAATACACAAGTCTGTGAAGATATCAATGAATGCGCTGATGACCACCTACATATTTGTAGCCAAATCTGTTTGAACACACAAGGCTCATATTCATGCTCGTGCCAGAATGGGTTTATTCTAGACCAAAGAGACAACAAATCTTGCACTGTAATAAACGACTGTGACAATGATACAAATACTTGTCAGCCCAGCTGTAACAACACTTCAGATTCACTGTCCTGCTCATGTCCTTCAGGATATGTCCTTCAAGCAGATGGATTGTCCTGTGTGGTGACAACCGAGCCACACGAATGCCCATGCAATTGCCGCTCTTACATGTTGCTGAAAGCATTTTTGCCTGAACTATTTGCTCAAGAAATTAAAGGCATTCAACGGAATATTAGTATTGATAAAGCTACAACATCGTTAGCGTTACGTAAGAAATCAAGCATACAGAACATCCAGACATCAGCAAAAGCTGTTGGAGGAACCGGTGTAGTGATTGTAACTATATTCTTTAGTGTGATAGTTTGTTCAGATGTGGTGAGCTTTGGTAGGTATGTACTGTTCAAGTACAGAAGACGCCGTGGTAGAAGATCCGTGATCAAAATAAAAACTTGAAAGACGCTAATAAGATTCTTCCTCTTCTTCTTCTTGAACGTTTGGGTGGTTGGCACGTTGTGTTGGGTTTACAGCTTGGCGGCGATTTTTGCCTGTTTTTGGCAAACACATTGTATATCAGCAATCAACTTATAAGTAAAGAGGGTTGGGATGGAAGGGGGATGTGGCTATTGTTTTTCATTCAGTTGGGGGAGGGGGGGGGGGGCATCCAGTTTACTAGCAGCTTCTTTCCTGTATGGGTTCTGGGGCGCTATTGCGAGGACAACAATAATAGACCCACTGTCTCCCCAACAAGCATTCCGTAGGAGTCAACTAGTTGGACACATCCTTCAAATACTTAGTGCATCTGCCAGAGTAGCAAAGAACCAAGAGCCTGCATACATTTAAGCCAGAGATGTGAAACGAATGTGCATGCAACACGCATGTTCTGGAACAAGACTAACTTCCAGAATTGGACGAACACCCAAAACTTTCAGCTAGAGTGTACATCCAATGAACGCAAAGAAGAAATAAGAAGAGTAGCAGCTTGGCAGACATGGGAGACGCAAGGTGGTTATTTGATAAGTGGCCAGACTGTTTGTCTTTCGCTATGTAATTCTTGGGTTTGTTTAACAAACGCATCGTCCAATTCACAAGTGTTATTTTTACCATCATAGAGGAGTATGGCCCGTGTGTCACTGGGACCCTCACAGGAAGCAAAGAATAGTAACACTGCACCCTGCCAGGCATGTCGTAAGAGGCGACAAGGGGTCCGATTGGGCTTGAAGTCGGGTGGGGGGAGTGCTGGGTGGTCTCGAGGCATGGCGTCCGCCTCGAGTGCTGGGGCTCCAGTGTTCAAGCGCCGGCGAAGGCTGGGATTTTTTTTCACGAGGACTACAAGTAATTTCTCCTGGTCTCTTGTTAGTAAGATCGGACGCCCGTGTGTATTTTTGCGCCCGTAAAAACACCTTGGCAGTTTGAAGTTGAAAGAAAGTAGCCTAACGGTGCTTCCCAGGCAAAATTTGGAGTTAAAAATCTACCCACAAGTGTTTGAGGGTCTTCGCCGGTGATACGGAGTTCGTGTACTACGCTGAGCTTCTTTGGACTCAGGCTTGAGTTAGAAGTAGCACGGAGCACCTATGGGTTTCTACCCTTGTAACATAATGTTGATCTGTCGTCTAAAACCTAAACCTTGAAGTTGGCTAGCATGGTGTCTGCCTCGAGTGCTAAAGGTTACAGGTTCAATCCCCGCTAAGGGCTGGAGTTTTTCACGTGGACGTGGACTTCTAGTACTCCCCCCCCCCCCCCCCCCCCGGTCCCCGGGTAGTGAGATCTGACGCCCGTGTTCATTGCTGCGCACGTTAAAAATCCCTTGGCAGTTGAAAATCTACCCAAAGTATTTCAGGATCCTCGCCGGTGCTACAGAGCCTGTCACGATACGATCTCAGTGATTCCAGAAGTTAGTACTTGTAATAAGTTCTTCTGGTTATTGAGAGACAAGAGACTATGCCCTTAAACCAAATGTTACTTTAAACCGTATTGATTTAAATGTTTCCAGTCCTTAGTCCAGACAAAGCCACTGCGCTTTGTTTAAAATTACATAACACTACGTAATACAGCCCGCTGGTTCAGACTAGGGATGTTATGTTTGATTCTCATGCCAGTGTCAGAATGTTATCTCCTGACCACAGACTGAGTGGGGCGGCTTTGAAAGGTTACCTAACACGAATTGAGTGGACGCTAGACAGTTGAGGCGACGAGAAGTTTAAAGTTTAACACGTCAGTGTAATTCTGGAGAGAACAGGTGTTTGGCAATTAGGAATGTTTTATCTTGGTCAAGGTCGTACTGTAGGCCGTTCACTGTGAGTGACAGGTCACTGGTTAGCCAAGTTGATCTGATAGTTACCTCAGAGGCGGGGCTTAAGTCATCATCTTGAGGGTTGGGTAAAACCCAGGAAAGGGAGGAGTTTAATTTGGACAATAGATTGATACTTATACTTCGAGCTTTGGAATTCCCGTCATTAATCGCAGCCTGCCGGCAAACAAACACAGGTCGACGTAAAGGTATATTTTACTGTCGTATTCTGGTTTGGCGATAGATGGAAAGTTCCCAGGTGAATATTAATATTAATCTTGTATACATAGGTTAGGGAGTTAAGCTTAGTCTATACTACCTTTTCCTAATTTGTCTGCACATTCTGCTTGAAATAGTTCTTTGTGAGTATTCAGTATCTCAGTTAGGGAACTGCTAAACTATTCCTATTTCTTGTATGTTTGTGTCACATGTTTTTCAGTGGATGTTTTCATGTGTATAAAATAGGATGTGAACAATGACATTTGCTATAATGAAATGTAATTATATTGTTTCCATGATCAGCCAAAATATGAGTTTGGACTGTGGGAAATCATGCCCATATGTGCAGGGATGCTGCTACGTTTTGTGTGCCCACCATGTGATCACTTAATGTGTTCACCTGAACAGGGGATTTATAACCCCAGGGGAAGGATGATGGGTGTATAGAATTCACGGTCACTGAAAGATAATATTCAGGACAGCGTGCACATATAAATTGTTTGCGGGTTCAGCACATAACCTGCGCCACATGTTTATGTCAAATATATGTCAGCCAATTCGAAGTCTGAGTGAAGACGGACAACAGACTTAGAAAGTCAACTATCATGACATAGCACTTGAGGGAAGGCAGGATATGTGACGTCCATGTAAGACAAAAGACCTTCAGACTAGACTGGAGAGGATGTGGAATATGAGGAGGAGTGATGGGATATTTTATTATTATATGTTATCTTAATTAATACATGTATTCTTAGTGTAAGTCAAGATACTACACGTATGTGTTTTGTTTCCATGATTACAGCGCCCATGTGACGATCAGTCCATGAAGTAGCCTACATTGTGTTAGACTCGGCCAGCTGGGAACGAGGTGGAGAACGAGGTGGAGAACGAGGTGGAGAACGAGGTGGAGAACGAGGTGGAGAACGAGGTGGGGATGAAGTGGAGAATAAGCTGAAACAGGCAGAAAACAGGCAAGAAAGAGTTGGACAAGCTTGACAGTTCCTCACGGCTGTCAGAGGCTTATAAGCTAGGTTAACATCTTTTAAGTTAACATATCATCATCATACCACTCTAAACCCCGGAGCTGTTTTTCTCGCTGAAGCCTATCACTCATCACGTTAACCAGTCACTGTTTGTGTAATTCAACAAACTGGGAATTTCATTGTAGTAAATAAAGCTGTATGTCAAGTTTTAAACTACATAGTTTGTTAAATTCCAAATGTCTGTTCTTACATGTTTTTAAACTGTTAAGATAGAATACCATTTGGTGGGGGCTCAAATAATATAATAATTCTTTAATTATTCATAATAAAACCGGGAGAAGGTAGATGACGGAGGAATCATTTGCCCTGTCTAATAAATCATTAAGTATAATGCTATAGACATCTAAAATTCCTTTTCTTCTCTTGTGGGTACCAAGTTCAGCTAATGTTAAAGTACTTAACGAGCCAATATAGTTGTTTTCTTAGGTATCCAGGACTTTGTCTGAGAGCAACATAGCTCAGATTTTAGTTCCGTTAATCTGGTGGAGGGAATGTGTTGAGAGGAACATCCCTACTCAACATTATAAACCATTAATCCACCCGTCACGTCACAGAGCCTGTGCACTGTGTTGAGTTTCTTCAGACTCAGACTTGAGTTAAAGAAGAACGGAGCACTTATGGGTTACACCCGTGTGCTATGATGTTGATCCGCTGTTGAAAATCTCCAAACCTCAAAACAAACACAAGAAGAGACAGGGTAACGAATATCAGCATTAGAGAGAAAGTTACAAAAAATACTTTGTCTTAGTTACACTGACAGACAAAGAATGGAATTGCTCCGTCATCTAGTGAGAATGTAAAGCAAAAAGTAAAGTAAAGATCACCTTTCACGCCTAAGGCGCATCGGGTATATCGGAAGAGCGTCCCATATTTTTACAGACCAATCAGTACTGGATGGGTAATGTGGTAAGCATTACGCCGGCCGTCTTTACTTCCCCAGAACAGCCATAGTGAGAATGCAGCCAGTGTATATGACAGTGTTTACAGCAGCACATCTGGGCTGAAGGCAAAAAGAAGACCAAGAAAAAACACGAATAAACGGTGTAGCTAAAAACTGCAGGAAGATGGACAAATCCTTCACTCAAGCCCCACGAGAAGCGAAAGAGAAATACAGAAAGTCACCAGGCTGGGTTACAACCTGGTAAAAGTGTGACGACAAAAAAAATAAAGAAATAAAAAATACGTTTTCTACAATAACATTTAAAAAAAAAAAAAGAACAGGACATATTTATGTGTTGCGCATGACTAACTTACAATCGACTTTTGCTGTATTTGTATATCCATATTTAAAAAAAAATAAGTTTTCTTGTTCTATTTAACATTGTAGTGAATTCAAGCGACATGTCTTAGCAGTCACTAGTAACAACAGTTATGAGAAAGAAGATGTCGGTACTATGTACACACTGAAGCCCCATCCTGGCTTTTCGAGGGGGTCCTAATATAACCTAACAGTTAAACGGGATTTCTGGGAATCGCTCTGTGTGATGACCTGGTGGGGTAGACCTTACTTACTCTAGATAGATACATCCCGAGAAACAGCAGAGAATCACCGAACAATAACTTAAATAGGAGATAAAGGGATTAAGGAAGCAAGGATGCTCACTAGAAACCTTAACATGAACGCTGATGAGAGAGGCTAAAGAGGCCGGACGATTCCACCCATGATATTTGAGGTATGATGTTTGAGGCTTGGGGTTTGAGGTTTCAGGTTTGTAGTTTGATCAAGAAATCAACATCGTGGCACACGGGTAGTAGCCCATAAGTGCTCCGTTCTTCTTTTAACTCAAGTCTGAGTCAGAAGAAGCTCAGTACAGTGCACAGGTTCTGTAGCACCGGCGAGGATCCTGAAATACTTTGGGAAGATTTTTAACTCCAAATTTTGCCAGGGGCAGCGCCGTTAGGCT